TGTATTTGTAGAATTTAGAAATGTTGCATATTGCAGCTGGATTTTTTTCTGTTCTTCTGTTTTAGCCACTATCCTTTAAGGATACAGATTAAAGTGAGGAAGATGTTTGTGATGTTTTGGGATTTAGAGAGAGAATGTGCAAAAATGAATGCTTGCAAGAATTTGGAAGCAACAGATATTTTTGTGCTTATATTTCTCATTCACACAACCTTAAAATAGGGTAAAAGGTCAGATGCCATGTAGAAATGGAATCAAATACTCCAGTTATGATTTTCAACTTGAAAGACATTCCTTCACCTAGCTCTATTTATTGGGACTTTTTATTTTTTACTTAGAGAATATTCCAACCTTATTCCCATCCTAAATTCCCCAAAGTGATCTTACCCCATAAGGAAGATAATGTTTCACTTAAAGGATACCATCTCTAGCAGCAAGAGAGTTTAATACTCTGAAACAATATCAGGGATATGCAATCTTGAATTTACAGCTCTTAAAGTTACCTTTATAGCTATACTGTTCATTTTGGATCAGATGCTTATTTAAAATTCCATATATTTTAATATAACAGATTTCGAAAGGAGTTTCCAATAGGTCAAAAATGGTATTTTTATTTAAAAAACAAAAACAAAAAAAACCACAGAGGGCCAGATCCTCAGGTCCTTTGATGCCAATCTATACAAACCAAGAATCTGGCCCAATAGCCACAATTTCAGTTCAAAGTTGGTCTAATTTTCAGTCATTTTATTTTGTTTTTCATATGCTTTCTCAATAATAAAAAGGACTTTGAGTTAATATATTTCAGAATCTTCTAGTGTTATCTTTATGCCTGTTACTGATCAGTGACTAACTACTGATTAATCAAGTATTCTTGATCAACATCTCAATACCTCATAAATATGTGCAGAACAATTTTCTCCAATCACAAAAATCAATAAATCAATGTAAAATTTCAGTAATTAAATTTTTCAACTCCATAGTAATAAATCTGGCACTTTACAAAGTATTACGTGAAGTTTGTTCTCTTAGGGGATATATTGATTGAGGGCAAAGAGCCAAATATATTTCTATTATTAGGTCTGAGAATGCTACATTAGACCAGCATGTTAAAAACAACATACAAGTTGTATGCTCTCATGCTGATTTTGTACCACCAAAACCATTCCTAACAAGCAGATTAGCTGATTAATTGATGATTAAGAAGATCAGTCATTACATCTGGCACTTCTTGTATACATACATGTGCTTAACTTATTGACAGTCAGCATTCAGAATGATTTTCATCTAGAGACTCCCTTTTAAAAGCACACATAGGGCATGTTGTCAAAAGTGGATCTTTAACTATTTTCATGCATCATAAAATAGTCTAAGCTGGAAAGTGAGGTTCTGAAGTTCAAGCTTTGCTACCTGAAACTACACATGATGAAAAATTCAATAATTGTACTGTTAATAATTAAAAGATGAACAACATCAGAAGAGGCTTGCAGCTGTATGCAACTGCTAATGAAATCCACATAAAAGCCACAGACAACGATTTCATTGTTGTTACAGTACAAATCTTAAAATGTTGTGGGGTACAAATGAATAATCTATGCAGGAATATTTTCTTCATTATTTTTTTACACTGTATTCATAACATGAACAAGTAGTTGCAGAAGAGTTTGTAAAGTTCCATTTTTTACTGATTGGTATAAAAAAAAATAGCTACCTTTAGATGTACATCAAGAAAAAACAGAAAAAACACTTTTGACTCAGCTCAAAAGTAAAAGTCTTTAAAAATCAACAGCTAGTGATTAAAGATTGTCTTTTTTACTGACAATTGTGTGATCAAAATATTAATAAAAAAAATCTTTCTATGCTACTACAATTAGGATAGCAGATATCCCTGTATTTTCACAGATGTTCCAATGGATAATATAAACAACCGGATCCTGTACTGTACATATCTTGTTGGGGGAGGGAAGGAGGGAAACACCAGGTTTGTGTAGGAGTCACATCCTGTTACAAACATCAAATAACAATGAGGCTTTAGTACCATGCTATTATTCCTTCATATCAAACATGATTAATTAGCAAGTATAACACTCACCAAAACTCCCACCACGCTTCTGTTTGCTGCCTATTTGCAAATGGAGCTATATGGAATATCAAGCAACCATAAGCAGCATTAGTCTCACTTATTGGAGGCGGGAGGGGGAGAAGAGAGAGAGAGAGAAAAGTCGAGAGAGAGAAAAGGTCAAAGTGCCCTATTTACTTTACCCAAAAACAAGGATTTTTTAAAATACCTATGTAGGAACTTCCTTGATAATCTGTGTAACTTCATACACAATGAAGTAAAGAAAAAAGTTGAAAACAAGTTAGTTGATGTACAGTTCATTCGATCATTGAAAATAAACTGGATAGGTACTTTGAATGTGCAGTTATTGCAGTTTTAAATAAAAATACAGTACTTCAGTGAGAATGAAAATGTTGCTCACATAACAAAAAATGTCAACAGAAAAAAGATGAAAATGGGAAGATCAAGTTAGGAGGACTTAATGTTGCAAGTTATGCCATCCAAATGCCACTTTACTTGCCATAAAACACTTTGGCAGTAGGAAAAACCTTTACATTATGGAAGATGTGAGGAGGATGACAAATACAGCATGAGAAACACAAGATTGAAATGAAGGCAGAAAACTGGGATTCGTTTTTTCCATCAAAACTTTGTAAACAGCACCACAATAGCAACAAGGAAAAGGTCTTTCAGTTTGAAAGCAACAGATGCACTACTGAGCAAGAAAGCATGCCTGATAAAATGTATAAACATAGAGACAGGTTTTTATAAGTATGAACATAAATGCATGTGCCACACAAAGTTAAAGTTTTATTATGGAAAAAAAATGACGAATATCTGATACCTCCTTATTTTCCTCAGTTCTGTACCACAGTACAGTAGTAACAAAATCTTGGTTTTGTCATACCCCGAGAGAAATTATTTTTAAATTTATATTGGTCCTGGTCTCTTTAGCTTTTTCAGTTTTATAAATTTAGGATAAAAAAACATCAAAGCAGTTTCCACCTCCAATCTAACTTTTAGAGGATCAATGTGACAAGTCGCTGCTTGATAGATGTTTCTCTTGATAAATGACTTGTTCAAAAGAGACATTGTAGTTTTCATTTCCTGACCACAAAACACTTTTAATTTGCAACAGCAGAGCTGCTCGAGTGTGACTAGTTCCCACTTTCCAGCCTTTCAGGTTTGTGGCTGCGTCAGGCCACATAATTGGGCAAAACAAAAACCTAGAAAGGAGGTGCATCTGCTGGCAACAATAATTGTATCAAAACTTTTCTTCAGACATGTAACTGATAATATTTCATTTAAGAGTGGGCTTTAAAAACAACTATCAAAAACAACACACAAACTAGCTAAGATTTTTTAGAGAACAAAGCACATTTAAAAATATTTACCTAAATACCTTAGAATATACATAACTGCCTAGCACTACTATGTTTAATATCAGAAATATGCAATATTATTATTACTATCATCCGGGAATCACATTGAAACATCCACCTGTCCACACCATCCAATTTCAGCTCTGAGCATACAGTCCGATTCCCGATTTAAAATTTATAAATGTAATATCCTCCTCATCACAAGCAGCAGTCCAATCTTCTCTGAATATATATTACAGCTTTAACATCACAGAGGGAAATCTCCCATCTGGCAATCACATTCGCTCCAACAGCTCTTGAGGGGGGGGGGAAGCTGTGCCCCCCTCTCACTCCTCAAAACATTTCTCAGGGCAAATTATGTGCATCTGAAATAAACAGTTGCCTTATTTATCACTTTAAAGTCAACAAGTTCCAAATGCAAAATTCAATTAGATCATCCCCATTGTATAGTAGTCCAGCATATATATATATATATACACACACACACAGTCACCTACAGCGCCAAAATAGGAGTGTACGTTGTGCAACTGCTCTCTCAATCCCTTTCTTGCATTCAGATGTGTTATTAGGAGAGATCAACCACCACACACTCCAGATTCCCCTCTTCCCCAGTGTTCTCTCCATCCTAATTTGTTAGTATCACATGCTATTAAAAGTCAGCATATCTCCCCACCACCACCCTTTGCTTGTACAATATAGATTAACAGCTGTTTCTGTTGCTAGTTCTTTAGTGTTAATTGCATATCTGGAACTGTACGTACTGCACCACAACAAGGTCTGTTGAAATCCCCCATGCTCCATTTTATCTGACTTTTTGAGGGGAGGGGGTCAAGAGAGAGGCAGATGGGACTGCTGGGGGGTTGAGAGTGAGAGGTTTAAAAAAATAAGTCAATTTGAGCAACTGATTATTTCATTCTATTACACGTTAACAATAAAGCAATGACAGCCAGACACATGTACACTAGCATAAAATATCCTGCTCATCAACGACAATAAACAATCAATCACAACTGTATTTTTGTTTTGTTTACATGCAAACCATTCTCCCCTTACCCCCCATCATCAGCTAAAACCTGCGAGAACTGATTACGCCAAAAGTAGGGAGAGATCAGCTGGAGTTCAGAGAAACAGTCAATAATATCATTAGTTTGAAATAGAAAAATACTGTATTTTAGCCGTGTGTATGTGTATATACAGAGAGACATATAGGTGTGTGTGTGTGGATTCGTTTACTAAGCGTTTTTCCCTCTCCAGTCACTGAATTTTACTAATTTACATACTATTTGAGTTCGGTGGTGTATATAGTGCACTGCTAGTACCATGCAACTTTAGGTTTACAACTGAGATCAATACAATGGACAAAACTAATTCTAAAATCAAAGAAGAAATGATAAACAAATGATAGCAAGAAAAAATGCTTATTTACATAGTTGATAATTTACCATTAAACATCAGGTTTATTTGCTAGTCATATTCACATGCAAATTCCTCAGTTCTTTATCATGCTATTTAAATTTGTCTTTGCTATTTAGATGCAAAGGAAGTAGATCCCAAAACGGACATACCATAAACACTGGTGCTACTGATCATTTCTTGCTGGCAGCACAAAAAGCTGAATTGGATTTTTCACAAGCAGGAATTCCAAAGGTTGCTTTTCATTAAAGCCACTTTTCCTCTCAGCTATCAAATGTCACTGCCTTGAAACGTGGGCCCTTTCGTCAGGTATTCATTTAACCTACATGCATATAATTAAGTGGGAAAGCAACATCAACAAAAAGGGGATCTCAGATCACAAGAGAAGAAAGAAAGGAAAAAAGCACATGACCAGGAATGCAAGTCCATGTCAATTTCACTCACTCCCATTGAAACTAACAAGAGCTCCAGGGAGGATAGTAATAGGATCAGTGGATTGTATATACCATTAAATTATACATCTTTCTCTCCGTTCCAAGCCAACAATACGCCCACCACGCTGTACCCCCTCCAAGATGATGTGCTTACATTTTACTGCAATAGCTCCTCTGACATAGTCATGTCCCCCCAGCTAAGATACTGCGATTTAACCCCAACTTTTGTTCTACGAGATTCTTATTTGCACTTATTTACTTAGAAGTTAGTTCCCTGCGAAAGAGTAGTCCCACATTACCTGCACTTTATTATGTTTAATACAACTTAAAAATAAAGCAATTAGAGGAAGGAGGTGGAGAGGGATCTTGCAATCGCGAACTCTTAATCTCCCTACTATTGTTGGCAATGATCAAGGAGGAAAAAAAAAACCAAAAAAAAAAAAAATCCACCCATGCACTGCAATTGTATATCTGTACTTTCCAGACTATAATTAAGAAAGCAGGCTGGAAATATTTACTATAGTAAACGATTGCAAATTAATTAAATATTTAAGGCACAAGCAGGCGATTTAAAAAAAATATATGGCTGTCTTGGATTGCTTTAAGATTAATTTTGTTTTAAATGATCGCTGGAAAAATGCAAAGGATCGTCTTACCTGCAGGTTTGGTAGGAGAACGCGATAGGTTAGAGTAGCATCGATCCGCTGTGTTTGCTGATGAATGGGGGCTCGGGTTAAGTGAAGGTGCCTATGATTTGAAATCATTCCAAGTTTTTGAAGGGAAGACTGACTGCAGCCTCTGCCATGTTGGAATTTCAAACCCAAAACAGCTGCTTTGCAAGGAGCCAGCATGCCAGCAGCTGGACGCCTGCGCAGAGCGCCGCCGAGCCAAATTCAAATCACTTTCACACTAAGAGCCAAAGATCAGTTTTCAAAGGGGCGAGGGGGAGACACGCAGGAGATTCATGTGCAGGGAGAGCTCAATGGCTGCGCGGCACAGGGCCGTGGCGGCGCAGGTCATGTTACATGGCAGGGGCTGCTGCCGCTTGCAGGGGAACACGCAAACACGGGCTGGAGGTGGCCGGGAGGTCATGGCAAAGCAGCCCGGGCGCTCTCACTCCTCTTTCCCTCTGTGGCAGCGAGGGAATCGGGAACTAAGGGAGTTGGGATCCCCCACTTCCATCCCTCGCCCCTGCCTCCCGCCGCCGCGGTGCTGCTAGCGCCGGCTCCCCCTCAGCAGCACTGCCTCCGTGTCCCACCCCATCCCCCAGCGGCGGCAGCAGCGGCGACTCCCGAGCTCCCCTCCCCCTCCCCCGAGCCGCGGCAGTGTCTGCAGCTGCCCCTCGGCAGCACCCTCCGATCAATAGAGTCAGTCGGCCGGACAAGCTGGGGCAGGGTGACCAACGCGTAAGAGAGGGAGAAGACTGAGGGGGAAAGGAACTCAGCGGGCCCCCTGGCAGCGCCCAGCTTGGGTTTGAGGGAAAGACTGAAACAATATTTTGTTTTAAATAAAACTGCTGTGCTTATTCCACCCCACGGCCTGGTGCTGACCCTCTGGGGCTTGGCATCCCCATGCTCCTGCCTGGCAGCGGTGATGGCTCAGCCTTTCTTCCTCTGGCCTTTAGGCCAAACACACACACACACACACACACCCCTTTTCTCAGTCCTCAGCCCAAGAGGTCTCTCTCTCTCCCCCACACACATGCCCAGTTCTGGAAGAATAAACACAGGGTGGGAAGGCAGAGGGTCCTCAGGTCTGAACCTAGCTCTGCCGCTGACTCAGTATATGGCCTTGGGCAAGTCCCTTCAGGTTTGTATCAGTTTCCCCATCTATTAAAATGGGGATGGTGACACCTACCCAGAGAAGCAGTGTGAGGATTAATTAGTCAACATAGTGCTTTGAAGGTTTCAGAGTAGCAGTCGTGTTAGTCTGTATTCGCAAAAAGAAAAGGAGTACTTGTGGCACCTTAGAGACTAACCAATTTATTTGAGCATGAGCTTTCGTGAGCTACAGCTCACTTCATCGGATGCATACCGATGAAGTTTCCACAGTTTCCACGGTATGCATCCGATGAAGTGAGCTGTAGCTCACGAAAGCTCATGCTCAAATAAATTGGTTAGTCTCTAAGGTGCCACAAGTACTCCTTTTCTTCATAGTGCTTTGAAGATGTAAAGTGCTATAAAAGTACTAAGAATTCTAATTCTCCTCTCTCCAGCCAAATTCATGCCTGTGCCCAAACTCCACTCAGCAAAGGGATGAAGCGAGACACTCAAGGCTTTATGCCATCTTCACATTTCCCCATTATAAAGTTAGAGCAGACTCAGGGCTTGCCTATCCTTAAAACGCTACAGCTGTACTGCTGTAGAGCTTCAGCATACACACTACCTGTGCCAGAAGGAATCTGCCAGAGGGTACTTAGGATTGCTTTCCAACCTCTTTAGGCTGGCAGACCAGGCATAAAGTGGCGAAACACCACAGATCAGGCCCTCTCTCAAACACACACCATTCTCTGTCTCTCTGTCACACACACCTAACGCATGCTCTCTCACAAATACTGTTCTGTTCCTATCAATCTCTCACATAAAACACTCTTCTCTCATATACCCCATGTATCTATTTCTTTCTCCTACTCTCACAAACTATTTCCCCCTCCTTTTTCTCTTGCTCACACACACAATCCCCATCTCTATTCACACTCACCATGACAGGAAGGATTCCACAAGGACAATCTTCATTCCTGCTCCCAGGGCTGGGGAATTTAGGACTACAAGAGGATCTTTATCCTCTTCTGTGCTAGTGGGGAGGCAGACCCCGCCCCTGCCCCCTGATCTGGAGGAGGTAGGCACATGGTTGTCCCTGGTTAGTTACACTCCCCTCTCCCTGACCTTGGAAGTGGTGTAGAGATGCCATGGGTGGATTTTCATCCCTTTCAGACCTGGGGGAGTTCAATCAGATATTCAAAGCAAGAAGACAAGATATACTGTACGTCATGGAAGTGGACAGGGCGGGGAGGGGGAGAATAGTTTTTGCCAGCGAGTGAGGGAGGTGCATCCAGTTGGAGTATTGGCATGTTAGAGAAAGCTTGCCATTCCTCTTTGTGCCTCTCCTGCAGCAGCACACCAGGTCCAGGAGCAACCGTGAAGCAGATGCAGGAAAACAGGGGAAGCTGAAGTGAGATTTCTGATTTTCTTGGAAACCTGCATTCCCTAATTTCTGGGGAAGGTGTGGGGATGCAGATTCCCTAAGGTGGAGAGACAGAGGACAGGGTGGCAACATATGACCAATCTGATGGAAGATGGTCCTTGAAATGATCATGCATTCAACTAGCTCCTGGGGCAATTTCGTCAATTGGCTGGTGGTTCTTTCAGGAGGCCAGGATCTTCAGGGTGAGGGTTAGAAAAACACAGAAAAAGCAACATGGGCCAGATCCTTGGCATGGACCAGATCAGTGGACAGAAAGCCAGTGTAACCAGCTACCAGGGGATTCTATTAGTTAAAGGGGAATCTCTGGATTGCAAAGAGTGGGTATAGCCATCACTGTGAACCCAGCCTCAAACCCCGGTTGCCACCCTAGATATAGGAGGCCTGTTTGGGGTATGACTGGAAAAAGACAGTCTGAGTAGAGCATAGCCCCAACAGCAGAATGGTCCTTTCACACCATTTAACTCAGAGCCCAAACAGAACTCAGGGGGAGTGGAACTTACATGGCTTTCAGCCACCTTTGAACCTCCTAATCCTGGGCTGCTCTAGGGGCTGGAGAGCCTCCTGGAAGAACTCCAACAGCATTGGGGTCCCAAGTTACAGCACCTTCCTGTGGCTATGGGCCTCAGTATGCACCAGAATCTCCTCAGAACTATGAGGAGTGGCCTGCCCCCAACATGCTTCCTATGCATGTCTCTGCAAAGCCTGCACAGCGGGAATCCTCCTCGGAGGAACCAGGGCCCTTTGGGCCCGGCCCCCACCCCTTTACATCTCTCTGGCCCTTTAACATAGAGTTAAGGTGGTAGAGTGGGGGGCGGGTGACTAACTGTCAGTTAAGGAAGTATGTGCCGTGGATGCCCCAACTCAGGACATATTTGTTAAACAAGTCATTTAAGGATATTGATATAAAGACATCAGTAAAAGCCTCTACAGTTTAATGGAACCTCAGTTTAGAATGTGCCTATTAACATTGCCTTTAGCAGCTCATTTCCTTGGCTTTTTTTTCCTTTTCTTTTTTTTTTTTTGCAAGGACCAGAGAAATTAAGCGCAAACACTAGTATTAATATAGGATTAAGAGTGAGCTTAAAGCAAAATTCCAAAAGTTAACATTTCTAGTGAAACATTAACCTGGCCCTGTTGTGCATACTATTTGTAGTATTTTCTACTTCTGCTTTCCTTGTTAAAGGTAAACTTTAATGTACCACTGTTTATATTAATGCTATGAAATATGCATGATGTGCAAGAAGATTGCCAACCACAAGCATCAAAATTCATGAGTCAGGATCCCCCCACATCACGAGATTTTTAAAAATATATATGTTTGGGGTTCCTTTTATTTTCCTTACAGTTTCTGAGACTGTAGGGTTCACATTTTCTGGCTTTTCTCCACAATCATGAGGGCTAGAAATGTACTTAAAAAATGAAAGCTGAAATTCTTGCATAATTACTGGACTCTAGGAGATGGGGCTTTAAGAAAAACACTAGATATCACAAGACTCAGATTTGGCAACACTGTTGGGAGCACTATGACTTTTGGAATTGCCTGACCATTGAATTATTTATTTATCAATTGTTTAATTGCATTAACTCTAGTATTTAAACTTGATATCCATACAGTATACTTTTCCTCCTTTATGACAGCTCATTACATTAAAGTAAAATGTATTTTATTTATTTTATGCTCAAATAAATTGGTTAGTCTCTAAGGTGCCACAAGTACTCCTTTTCTTTTTGCGAATACAGACCAACACGGCTGTTACTCTGAAACCTACATTAAAGTAGTCAGCATCCAGTCAGTAGCCATGTAATATACATGCATATGGGGTGAAATTCATTTCTGTGCACTGGGTCAACACAAGGCCTATGCACATTTAAATCCCATTTAATTCCTATTTTGGGGTCTGAATTGAAGCTAGAGCAGGGGCTTCGCCCTGGTCCTTTGTACAGGAGTGAATTTTGTTTGCCCTTAGTTTGAAAATATCACCAACCAATCCTGATCATTTTGAAAGTGAACTTCTCATACACGCCTGAGAACCTCATCTTGAGCCTATTTCCTGAGGTAGGTGAAATGTTCACAACGAAACTCAAAACCACATGAAATTTGTGTGGTTTCAGGTTTTGTTACTAACTCTAAAGTCAGGTGACGCTGCATGGAAGGTACACAGACCTTTTCAGCAAACCTGGGTCAATTACACTGAAACCATTCAAAACGTGAAAAACAAATAATAATACATAATCATGATGCCCTTCTATCTACGCTAGTCTAAAGATACCAGCATTATAGCAGCTAGACATCATATCTGCTCCATAGCGTACCCTGTAAAGCTATAAGCAAAACTACAGTGTGTCTTGAAACAATCTTTAGTTCATTGTAATTCCATACATGGATTGATAGCTAAATGGAAGCATGTTCTTTAGCATGGCAGACAATGCCATCAATCTTTCAAAGAAGGTGTCACAGTTCAGGGTTAACTGTACCTCTGACCTATTTCTTGATCTCTCAGAGTGCAACTCTTTAGGTGACAGGTTTCCCATTTTCTCCTCTCTCTTGGTGGAGTCCCATGATTCTCCCACTCTTAGATCAGGACTATAGCACCCTGTTTACCAACTGTTTATTATTCAGCAGGTCCAACTGAGCTTGGCCCCCGCAAGTCTTCCCTTCAAGAGCTAAAAGAAAAGGAGTACTTGGCACCTTAGAGACTAACCAATTTATTTGAGCACAAGCTTTCGTGAGCTACAGCTCACTTCATTGGATGCATACTGTGGAAAGTATAGAAGATCTTTTTATACACACAAAGCATGAAAAAATGGGTGTTTACCACTACAAAAAGGTTTTCTCTCCCCCCACCCCACTCTCCTGCTGGTAATAGCTTATCTAAAGTGATCACTCTCCTTACAATGTGTATGATAATCAAGGTGGGCCATTTCCAGCACAAATCCAGGGTTTAACAAGAACGTCTGGGGGGG